CCCCCCCACCCTGATCCATGGTTCTGCTCCAGGTTTCTTCCTCCTAACAGCAGTTTTTCCCTCCCTGTGTCTCCTAGTGCTGCTCTTGGTGGGAACTGTTGTTCTCCTGTGAATAACTTCAGAGTCTGAGATGCTCTGTTTGGATATCTGGGAGATTCCTGATGTTGTTAACAGATATAGGAATAAAGCAGCACCTCTCAGCAGCTCCAGCTGCGTGTGCGTGTGGGCCAGCAGGGCCTGCAGCCGCTGCTCCTCCCTCCTCTGCTGCGCTCCCCTCTGCAGCGCCTCCTGCAGCAGCAGCTGCGCCTCCTGGTGGAGGGAGGCGCACTCCTCAGGGCTCACCCGGGACGACTGCACACACGCGGGGACAGCAAGAGGTGTTACGGAAAAGGTCTTTAAATGAGTCAGGCAAAGTTTCTTAATAACTAGAGAAGATCGATCTTGTCCAGTAAAGGTGTTTCATTCAAAGGCAACAGCGTTAAAAAACGCAGATTAACCTTGTAATGCGTAATGTCTCATATTTGATTCATACGGTTTCTGAAATGTTTTGCGTCTGACACCTTTTGCATAATTTAATGGTAAAAACTTTGCTCAAAATCCTATTGTACACAATCAGATACACCTGATAACAGGGGGCAGAAGACTACACAAAAAATAATCTTGACTTATCGCATAGGAATAAATTAATAATGTCAAAAATCTATTTCTGTGCCGCAGCTGTAGCCTAATGGCTAGAGCGGGCGGCCCATATGCAGAGCCTCCGCTCGCAAGCGGGCGGCCTGGGTTCGATTCCAGCCCACGGCCCTTTCCCGCAGGTCTCCCCCTCTCTATCTCTGCCCCCTTTCCTGTCAAGCTACTGTCATTAAAGGCCACTAGAGCCAACAAAATCTTAAAAAAAGAATTTCTGTTTTTTCTTTTTACATACTTTGTTAATAGGCCAAAGAAGGAATTCAAACCAAAAAAAAGTAAATTTCTGTTTTGTTTTATTCTTGGATCAGGCTTTAAAGGGTTAAAGAGTAAACGTCCCCTTATATAACTTATTATGGATAAAGGAAAGGAAAAGGCCACTGTTTCTTATCAATTACATACAAAGAGATTCTGATTTACTCCTCAGACCTCAACGAAGTCCCATGGAAAATCTCCAAAAGGAAAAAAGCTATGCTTATACTCAGGAGACAGGAAAGGGCCCCCATGTGGACGGACCAAAAGGAGAATCTTCTCAGGAGATGAGTGAGGATGGCACAAAGGGAAAGTCGTACAATTTCAATGATAAACAGGGGAGAATGGGAGATTCAACCTGGATGGGATTAAGGAAACTGTCACATTTCCTACTGGTGCTAAAACCACAGAGACGACTCTCCCTAAAGGAACTAACAACCAGGTATCTTAAAGAAGAACCAAAATAGGAAACATCTCCAGGACACGGGACACCTTGCCTCTCTCACCCGGTGCACGCTGATGTACTCCTCCACCTGCTGCCTCAGCTCCAACCTCCGGGCGTCCGTCAAACCTTCCTGACCAATCCAGAGAGGGGGGAGGGGCGGGGCCTGGGCCGATCGCCGCTTATCCAGGAAACGACGCACCTGGGAGAGCAACCAGGGAGGAAAGAAAGAAACCAGGAGGAAGGAGGTTGTGGGGCTCTGCTGTGTCTGAGTGTGTGTCTGAGTGTGTGTGTCTGTGCATGTGTGTGTTGGCGTGTGTCTATGCATTCGTGTGCGTGTGCATGTGTGTGTGTGTGTAAGTGTGTGCGTGTGTGTGTGTGTGCCTGTGTGTGTGTGTGTGAGTGTGCATGCGCGTGTCTGTGTGTCTGTGCATGTGTGTGTGTGTGAGTGTGTCTGAGTGTGTGAGTGTCTGTCAGTGTGTGAGTGTGAGTGTATGTGTACATGCATGTGTGTGTATGTGTCTGTGCATGTGTGTGTGTGTGAGTGTGAGTTCAATTCAATTCAATTTTATTTATATAGCGCCACATCACAACAACAGTTGTCTCACAGCTTTCCAAACAGAGCAGGTCAGACCCTACTCTGAAGTTAATAACAGAAACCCAACAATTACCACCAGTGTGTGAGTGTGTGTGTGTTTGTGTTTCTGTGCATGTGTGTGTGTGTGTGTGTACCGCTCTCTGCAGAGTCCGGGCGGCCTGCTGCTGTCGGTGTGACTCCCTCAGGGAGAGTTTGAGGGTGTGGTTGTAGCGTCGTCTCTCTCTGAAGCCCCTCCAGCAGCTCTGGATCAGAACGGCCGCCCGCCGCTCGCAGGCCTGCAGGTACGGCTGCACCTGCCCTGAAAAAACGGGCAGGGAAAGGTTGTTTTACAGCACAATTCAAAGTGCTTCACGGAGAATTTAAAAGCAGAAAAACAAGAAAAGAAAAGTAATGAAAATTAGACAGATGAAAAGTGAAGTGTGCAGATAAAATACACTTTTAAATACACAATTTCCAAATGGAAAGTTGTGACTAGATTCTTTAGAACATATTTGAATATATTATCAACATTATTAATGCTCTAAAATGCATAACAATCAGATGGCTCCAACCTGAGCCTCCTTGCTACAATATATGGATTCAGAAGGTCTGGGATATATACCAAATGGAACATATAACATATTCTCCGAGACTACAAATACCCATATTCAATAAACGTTGGAGACCTGTCGTTCCACTAAGTATGCAATGATGTTTTTTTTTTGTTTTTTTTCACACTCTTGAAATCACCCTGTGTTTGTGTTTTGTTTTTTTATGTTTAATGTAAAAATACACATGTACATTCGTACCACATTGTATTAGGGTTCTGAAAAAATATTAAAACTTTGTTTAAAAAAAAACAAACACAATTTCCAGGGGTTTTCAGCCTGGATTTAAACATTCAGAGTCGAGTTCTGTCTCACATCTTCAGGAAGTCTGATCCAGGTTTTAGGAGCATGGCGCAGAAATGAAGCTTCTCCTGGTTTAGTTCTGACTCTGGGCCCCATCAGGAGACCAGAACCTGGTTTAGTTCTGACTCTGGGCCCCATCGGGAGACCAGAACCTGGTTCTCAGACACACACACTGACGGTCTGATGGTTTAATGGGGATTCTGCTGCAGGAGCCAGCCCAAACGATCGGGGTGGAGAATCAGTTCTTCCCTTTAATCGATGGGCCAAGAAAGCCAGACAGGCTTTCAGCAGTTTGCTGAGGATCATTTACCAGCAGCACAGCTTGAACGTGCTCAGGCTGTGGGCCCACAGAAAGGGACCAGCTGCGAAAATGTTCCTGAATTAAGGAGTCTCCACCGTCTTAAACTGCACTCAGATGTTAAATAATGTTTAGCATTTGGCCCAGAGGAGAGGAAATTAACTTCAGCTCTCTCATACAAAATAAGTACAGAAAAAAGGCAGATTTACATGGATACAAACTCAAATCAGAAGGAAATAAGTCAAACAAACCAGCTACTCATCTGTTATTGTGGTGTTTGAGAATGTGTTAAATATTCTTTATGCAATTACAAGCACAAAATAATCATTTATAGGCGTCTTTACTAAATGCGTGACACATCCCACAGCAGGTCCTGTGAGAGGAAAGACTTTACCGGGAGGAAGCAGCTGGAGGAGCCGTCTCTGTTTCTGGTGGAACTCCCTCCTGGCACGCTGCCGCCTCAAACACACCTGAAAGGATTTCACAAACTTTTTAAAAACACATTCAGAGTGAGACCAAATAATCTGCTCCATGAATGAGTTCCTTCCGTATGAAACTGCTGTGATTCTTTATTATTGTTCTGTCCCAAAAACTCTGTTAAAGCCTCCAGCTGATCCAAAAAGTTCTGATGAGAACCAAACATAGATCATAGATCTGCTTCTTGAAATAATAAAAGTATCGATAAAACATCTAAAATACAAATAATTCCAAATACAAATACAACTTTAGTTTCAGTACAAAATAGAAAGGTTAAAAAAAAGGCATTAAAAGCTCGTCCCAGGGAGCCTCGCTCTGGGACGTAAACGCTTCAAATTACCAGAATGTTTTGTGGAGTCACTGACCTGATATTTGAGCTCCTCCTCCCACTGCTGCGCCTCCTTCTGCTGCTCCTGCTGCCTCCGGCGAGCCCTGATACCAACACACACGCAGGAAATCATGCTAAAGAAAGCTAAAGAACACCCATCAGGTCAGGTGAAGGAGCCAGAATAAGAAAAAAATACAAGACAATCCAAATGAGTCGAGAAATAAATTAATTTACTTGTAAGTAAAACTACAATAAGTAAAAGAACCATCATTTAAATCGAATATGCTTATACATTCAGACAATATATAAAATGTTTTGATATAAATCTTCTTTTCTTTTTGTCTTAGAATGAACCATCTATCAACACATCTTATTTTGATCCTTGTGAGTTTCTCCATAATTCTTGTTTTAGCATCACCCCAGTTTCTGGACAAAAAAGCATTGCCATTTTAACATTTGTCTTCTAATCAATCACTATATTTTGATTATTGCATTTGAATTGAATTGAATTCAATTCAAAGGAAGCAGTTTGTTTTAACCCTATAATGCCAATTGTGTCATATTTGATACGGTTTCTGAAGTCTTTTGGATCTGAGCCAGTAGAAGACTACACCAACATATATTTTTTACTTATTGCACGCTAATTTGATCAAAATAATTTCTGTTTTTTTTTCTTCATGTGTTGTTGAGGGGCCAAAGAAAGACTTCAGACAAAAAAAATCCAATATTCTTCCTATTTTTCTTGGATCAGGCTTTAAAGTGTTAAGGATTGAACCAAGAATAAAGAGCTGGGAGACGATGTTTTCTCTGACCACCACTGATTGTCCAGCTAAAGGGTGCTGAATACAGCGGGCAGGGAGCAGAACAGTACCGGTATCTCCTCTGCAGGGCGCCGACGGCTCTGTTGAGGCTCCTGATGCGGCGCCGGGTCCGGAACGACCTCCAGGCGGCCTGGATCACACAGGCCGCACGTGCACGCTCACCGCTCACCTGCAGCCACAGAACAGATCAACATGGTCCACTTTTACTCTGAAATGCCTATTCCTGCATTTCCACTATGCAGATCTTCACAAATAAGAACCAATAAAAGCTTATTTTCATTGGATTATACTATTTTTTCAATTATGAAATATATTAGATTTGTATATGAATAACATATAAATCAATTTCACATTATAGGACAATATGAGAAGGCTGGGAAGATATTTTCTTTAAAAAATATTTGGGATAAAACAACATATTCATATCATAAGACAAAACAATCATTCATCATAGATATTTTAAAAATCAATCACAATGGAAAAAATGTTGTCATGAAGAATAATTCAGGAAAAGTTTTACGTACAAAATCTCTAAAACATTTCTTAAAAACTGAGAGAAGTAGGATGGAAATCAGACCTCGGATGGAGTCGGAACGCTTCGTCCCGATTGGACGAGTCCGATCAGCTTTTCCACTTCCTGATCGAAGCCCCGCCCCCTCCAGTCTTTCCTCAGCAGGCTGTCCAGGCCTGCACACAGACACGGTGACCCCTGACCTCTGACCTCCCGGCCCCGCCTCTGAGCAGCCGGCCGATCCCAGCGCGTGACCTCTGACCTCTGAAGCTGAGCAGGAGGGGCTGGAGGCGGAGCCCCAGCTGAGCGGCCATGAGGAGCATCAGCCTGATGGAGGCGGCGCCCGCTGAGGGCCGGGAGCTGAACGCCAGGTGGCCCACGGCCTCGTGGAGGAGCAGCAGCAGGCAGTCGTCGTCCAGACCAGAGAAGAAGTCCCTGCAACCAGGTGAGCAGCTCGTTTAACACTTATCAGACAAGTCAAGCCAAGTCAAGTAGGCTTTATTGTCAATTTCTTTACATGCGCTGGTCTTCCAAAGAATTGAAATTGCGTTTTTTACCTTTCCCATGCAGACATAGACATGGACTTTAGGGGTGGACATAGACATTTAGACAAAGACAGTACACATACATTACACCTAGAGTACCTATACAATACCATACAGACATATAAAGGGCAGGACTGGGCAACAGCAGACATACATTGAACATAAGAAAGAGGTATTGTTGTGCATTTCCAGTTTTTTTTTGGGACGATTCTGACAGTGATAGTAGCATTGTGTTATATAATAAATATAAAGTGATCAACTGTAATGTGCAATATTTGCCACTAGTTGGTACCTAGATTTCCAATAGAGTCATTGAAGTAACAGGCATGAAGCAGCAGCAGCGTGTGTGTGTGTGTGTGTGTGTGTGTGTGTGTGTGTGTGTGTGTGTGTTTTTCAGTTAGTGCAAGTAGATTGTGCAATCCACAGGCGGCCACAACCTGGACGAATGGAAACCGCCAATTACCAAAAACCACTGGGATGTTTGGAGAGTGTCAGACCTCCGGTGGTCATTAAACCAACTGTGGTACATCAGTGGGTTTCAGCCTGAGGCAGAACCAGAGGAGTGTGGGTCCCATCTGGGTCCTGAGGAGTTCCCAGCCCAGGAGGAGCTTGAGGACTCTTGTCAAAAGTATTTTTTTGGAAACGTATGCCTTATGAAACCGCTTGTTTGGTTTATATTTCAGGACCTAGTTAAATACCTCATCACAATCTGAGCCCTAAGTGAAATGAAGGAGGAGTGAGCAGGATGTGGTGCTGATGTGTTTCACCTGCTGACTGAGCCTGTTTGGATCCACAGCTGGAGGCAGTGCAGAGCAACGGTGACATCATCGCACATCTGGATTTGCTCGTAGTGGATGGAGTTGAGAACTGATGAGGCAGAGGTGTTAGAATTAGGCTATAATTACTCGCTTTAGCATAGTATACTATAACATGATCTATTTCAATTATAGATTGTCTGAAATACTTTACCTGTGACCTAATAAATGTCAATTTTTACTCTTGATCTACTAAGGTTTATTCTCAGGTTTCCAACTAAAGAATCGTGTTAACAGAGATAAAGGAACAAAGCTCTCAAATATGTTTGGTATTCTTCTTTAAAATGTTAACAGCAGTTTTCACAGGTGGAATGATCCATGTTTTAGTCACTCCGCTGAGTATATGCTGGGTGGGGGGAGCGTGTGGGTCGAGTGGAGCCGTTTAAACGAGGATAATAACAGGTTTCTCTGGAGATCGGTCCATAAATGGAGGGATTAAACTGACCCTGAGAGGCGAGCTGGGGGTGAGCGGAGAGCAGCCAGCCGACGGAGTCCATCACCTTCCTGAAGAGAGAAACACCCTGACGGACAGACGGAGAGGGGGGGGGGGGTCATCCCCAGGCCGACCACAGCTCAGCACGCGGGTCTCCCTAATGCTCCTCACCTCTTCCCGAGCCGTCAGCTGACTGGCCAGCGAGAGCAGCACGTCCAGGACGGAGGGCAGGAACAGCCTGTGGAAGGCCTCCGAGCGGCTGCCCGCCTCCAGCCCCACGCAGCAGGAGCTGCAGCCACAACCAAACCATCCTCAGAAAGATCAGATTAAAGCCACGAGCCTCCTGAGCCAACTCAAACAGCACAAGAACCACATGATTCCCTAATCTAATCAGTTTTTTGTTGTACCAAAGTGAACACAACAGTGAAGGATCAGAACCAGAAATACTTTAATGATCCCAGAGGGAATTATTTAATGTATAATGTAGAGTTAACATATGCACAAAAACCTGTAAGCATTCGGGAATATTAGAGATAATATATATATATATATATATATATATTGAACTACACCAAATTAGAAAAAAAAAGCTTTGAGTGAATAACGGAGTATCCTGAGATGAGGTTTTAGCTTCAGTGGCTGACTGAAGGGGGTATTGGGGCGTACCTGGTGAGGTAGGCGAGTGATGCGGCGGGACCCCAGCTGGCCTGCAGCCTGCTGGGGGGCAGAGCCAGAGCCAGGACACAGTGGCTCAGAACCCCGCTGAGGTACAGCTGAGACTTGACCCGGGCCAACGCGCCGCTGCTCATCTGCACCGACGCCGAGTTCAGGGCCTCTGAGAGACAGCCACACATAAATCACGTCACGAACTCTGTTCCAGACAGCTTAACATGCGCATATTTTAACACCGGTCCCACTCTGTAAGCCGCTGTTCAGGAGGCTGATCTTCTGCGCTGGGGACAGGTCTTCCCTCTCCAGCTGCTTCTTCAGCTCTGAGATCAGAGCCTCCTCCTCCTCCTCCAGCTCCATCACGCCCACAGAGGAAGCTCTGACCTGGAAGCAGACACAGGAACCTTTCAGATGAGTATACATCCACCAAATCATGCCCAGACATTCACATAAAAAAGCCTTTAAGCACCAAAGTGATCTGTTATTTTCCTGATTTGTTGTAAGACAAAAGTAAAAAATATGACAAAGTAAAGAATTTCTAACTCTAAGCAAACACAGCCTACATTAAACGACTAACTGCTCCTGTTTATCCTGTCACACTATCTGAAATGACAGAGGATTTTTGAATATTGAACGGATTTCTGCGTAACTTCGGTTGGCTAATCTGTGTACTCTTTTATATTCATATTCATGCATTTGGCAGACCCTTTCATCCAAAGTGACTTACAGGGTAGAGCGGAGCTGCATTGGCCGGGAATCGAACCCTGGTCAACTGCTTCGAAGGCAGCTATGCTAACCACTACACCATCTTTTATCTAGGTTTCCTCACTTCTCTCATGACAATGACAGAGTTAAACTCACCAGTTGAGAAATGCTTTTCTTGCTCCTTTTTTTATTTCTTCTCTTTCTTATTCAGCTTTCTGTGGTGGTTAAACGCCGCTATCCTCAGTGACCGGGGGAACAACAAGCTAGCAGCCCTGTTGAGACGCTCCAGTGTTTCTACGGTGACGTGACGTCATGAGTGTGCGACAGTTTCCTGTCGCGCCAAAACAAAGACCATCATCTGTCCATCTTTCTCTTTATTTGTCCATCTCTTCCTGACACAGGCTCTCTTCTTATGATTTAATGCTGGAATCTGTGAAACGTATTACTTTAGGGAAGCAGTGTCATACTAATGATAATTTTGGTGGCTTGGTTTCTAAATCAATAAAAAGGAAAAAATAAAAAAGTGAAAAACAATTGAGTCTCCTTTGATTTATTTAGACTGTTCCGACAAGCAGGCAGACTTTTAAGGGTCAGCTAGACAAGAAAGGTGATGCATAAGAACAGACTTCAAGCCATTTACTACATTTTAATATCCTAAAGTGGTATTGATCCGTGGATCTTTTAAAAAAACGATCCCTCTCTTTTTAAGTTTGGACATTGGCTGCTTTCCAGTCAAGACCTTGCACCTTGACTCAAATATGTGCACACAAAACAGACACATTTTCAAAGAACCTACTTCAAATTGCAGAAGCAATGTATATACCGTTTATATCACTCAGTGTGGTGTGTAAGGTGTCCTTTAAATATTTGAGGAAACTGGACATGTGTAGGACAAAAGAAGTGGCCCAAAGCCCCCCTCAGCAGATGTTGACGCCTCTCGGTGTTCTGCAGGAGCAGTGGCGGCCTCTGTCCTCCTGGTGGCGCTGCAGCCTCAGCCCAGACAGCTCCATTCATTCAGCTTTCATCTGCTTCCACTGCTGGATTCCTGCTCCTCTCACCAATAAATGACTTCATTTGGACAGTCAGGGAGATAATCTCCGCTTTTTTTCTGTCTTAGTTTGCTTTAGTAAAAATAAAAAGAACGAGAACCACCGTTTTTATGTGAAATATGGAGACTAAATAATCCCTCTCCTCTAATTGGCCTGTTATTGGTTTATTGCTCCATTTCTAACTCTAATATTTGGTATTGGGGTTTATATAACAGCCTATAGGCCACATAGGGCCGGTCACGTCACACTCCTGGGGTGTGAGTAACGGCACAGGGACCCCGGTAACGTCGTAGTAACGGTGGAGGCGGGGTGTGTGTGTGTGTGTCTGAGTGTGTGTGAGTGTGTGTGTGTGTGTGTGTGTGTGTGTCGGTGCAGCAGCTGCTGCAGCCCTCGTGCAAAGCTCCGGTGCGCCTGCGTGCTGAAACCCACACCGAGCGGCGGACCCGGACTGGAGGAGGCTCCCGGTAACGCGCCGGCTCCCGGTAACGGGAACGGAGGCATCAGCAGCAGCAGCAGCAGCGTTGACGTCGCGTGATGCGATGCCGCGCGGGATCACGTTAACGTGAGGACAGTAGCAGCATCCGCGGAGGAGCAGAGGAGGAGGAGGAGGAGCAGGAGGAGGAGGAAGAGGAGGAGGACCGACGGTCGAGGCTGAGCAGTGACGGGCCGCCCGGTACCGGAGACACGGGACCGCGTCTGGAGCCGCGCGATCGGATGTGAAGCCGCAGGGATGAGCGGGTAGGAAGGGAGGAGGCGCGAGGAGAGGAGCGACCGACGGCACATAACGGAGGAGAGAGCGCGAGGAAGAGGAGGAGGAGGAGGCTGAGGTAGCGGGGGGCGAGTCACAGGTCGGCGTGGAGCGTCGGTCCTTGACGGCCTGGCGACGGCGGGTAGGGGTGTGCGAGCGCGTGCACGCGTGCGTGCGTGTGTGAGTAGAGCTGCTGTCGCCATGATGCCTCAACATCCGCCCATTGACTGCGCGCGCGCGCGTGTGAGCGTGAGCGTGAGCCCTATATGCTCCATACTATCAGGGTGTCAGCATCACTGTGTCCGGCAGCAGCCGGGCGCGCGCCTGTGCGCGTGCTGGGTGGAGGGTTCGACCGGGGAGGATTGTGGGAAGGCCCGCTGGTGTAGTGAGCGTGTGTGAGCGTGTGTGTGATGTAATGTGGTGTGTGTGGAGAACCTCCACCCAGCTGAGAGAACCCCAACACACCAGACTGCTGTATTCTGTATAAAATAAAAGGTTTTGGGTTAAAAAAGATGTAAAAATGTAGACATATGAGGAACATTTCTGAATGAACTAGTCCGTTAAAAGAACAATAAACTGGACAGATATGGTCGTTTTGTGGCAGATGTAAAGAAGATTATATATTTCCTGTAAAGTTTTATGGGTCTCCTAAAAGCCTTCTTAATTTACTGATTGACTTGAATGTTTAATTAGTGAAAGAACACACGTAGAACTAAAATTTCACAATAATACACTCAAACGTCCACCATGCTTATATTGTGGTGTATAAAATTATTCATATATATAATTACTTATGTGGGTGTGTGCCAAAGGTAAAAGAAATCTAAAATAACCGATGAGTAGAGAAATTTTATCAACCTTATTTCCAGTTTCCTCTTTTGGTTTTGTTTTTAAATGTCAGAAAAGACAGAAAAAATGTCAAATGTTGAGTTTGAATGAAAACAGTTGCGTGAAAAGATCAGAATAATTTACTTTTGCAGTGTAATCTGAAAACATAATTTAGTCAATTCATATTTAGATTTAGATATTTAGATTCAGATTTAGTCAATCAATATTTCTTCATCTTCTGAGACTTTAGAATCTGAACTTACTGTTTCTCTGGCTGGACATGTGGAGGCTTCTCAGAGATCGGACCTGACAACCTGACAGGGTTTCAGCTGATGGCAGCAGAAAAAACTGCTCCATTAAAACGTGAAGTCCGTTTTCAGACAGCCGCTCTGGAAATGTTCCAGTGCCCGGCGGCTAAACCTCTAACAGCCAATCCCGACGGCTCTCCTGTCCAACAGCAGGCCGACGGAGGGAATAAATAATTAAAGAAACAAACAGGTTTCTAGTGGTGGAGCCCCACACAGGTGCCATCAGCCATCCGGCCACGTCTCATCTGCTTCTCCACCCTATTTAGTACTCCAACCCACCGGGTTTTATTTGCTATACAGCGGAACGCCATTAGGTGGCGCTGTCTCACACCTGCCGGTGTCTTACATTAAACCTCCAGCCTCAGCCAGTGAATCTGAATGTTCAGTCAACAGGAAGTCAAAGGTCAAAGGTCAGACCCCCTTTGAATCGGGAACTAATTCGGACTTTGAGGTTTGATTGAGTTTCCCTGACTTTTGTCCGTTTAGTCCGTTTTCTGACACCAGGTGGCGCTCACATCTTGGCTGGAAGACCTTAACGAACGAACTGCTTATTAGAAACCAGGTCAAATGTGTGTCTGATGAAGGTAAATTAGGAAACTTTAGGCGTTAGAGGAGGAGGCAAGGAGATCAATGTGTGGGCTGTAAAGAGGAGGAAGAGTCCCGTTGCACTAACCGAACGGAGGATTATTGAATTAACATTAAACTCCAGCAGACAGAGGTCAGAGACGGGGGGGAGGACTCGTCCAAACAGCCCTTTCGGCTCTCAGAGGCAGAATGAGCCGGACCGGGGTGCCTCCACATCCCCCAGGCTGACATTTTACAAACTCAGAGGACGTTGTGGGGGGATGTATTCATTAGTTCTCGTGTTGCGTAATCAGTTTGATGAGTCTTGACAGCAAGTTTCTCTGAAGGCTTTTCATCTGCTCCTATTTTGGGCTTTGCACTGACTCACAGTGGGAGGGTTTGGTCGGTTTGAGGGAGCTGAAATCTCCTCTCCCGCTCTCCGTTTACGTCAACGGCAGCTGATCGCGGATCAATCGGGTTCCCGTCGGTCTGGAGCTGTGCGAACATGCCGGGTCCAGCCGTGTTTACTCTCTCACAGACTCTAAACACCCACCTCTAACTCCACACCGGCTGTTAGCCCTTTAAAGCACGATCCAAGGAAAATAGGAAAAATATTGGATTTTTTTTTTGGTCTGAAGTCTTTCTTTGGCCCCTCTACAACATATGAAGAAAAAAAACAGAAATTATTTTGATCAAATTAGCGTGCAGTAAGTCCAAAATGTATTTTGGTGTAGTCTTCTACTGGCTGTTATCAGGTGTATCTGAATGTGTACAACAGGGGTTTGAGCAAAGCTTTTACAGCTGAATGATGCAGAAAGTCTCAGATCCAAAAGACTTCAGAAACCGGATCAGATTTGAAACATTTGGCATTATAGGGTTAGCTTCTGCTCCCAGACCTGCTGCCTTCCTGAACCAGGTCCTCCTCCTCCAGCCGTGTGTGCCCCCCCCCACAGGAAGCACGCATCCATCATCTTTTCTTTTTGCTAATTCATGCAGCAGAGCGGGGATGGAGCTGAACTCAGTGATGAAGAGCCGCCTGCTCTCAGAGCTTTATTGGAGATTTATCCGGGGGAGAAGGGTGCAGAACGCCCATTATGCAGCTCCTCTCCTCTCTGTGCTGGAACCAGGAATTTGGTCCCACTCAAGTCTGGTTCACAGCAAAAACCTGAAGGTATATTAACCCTTTAAAGCCCGATCCAAGAATAAAACAGAACAGAAGTCTAAATTTGGCCTTTTAACAATATGTAAAAAGAAAAAACAGAAATACATTTTTGATATTAATAATTTATTACTATGCGATAAGTCAAGATTATTTTTTGTGTAGTCTTCTGCCCCCTGTTATCAGGTGTATCTGATTGTGTACAATAGGATTTTGAGCAAAGTTTTTACCATTAAATTATGCAAAAGGTGTCAGACACAAAACATTTCAGAAACCATATGAAACATTTGGCATTACAGGGTTAACAAGCATGAATCCACCAGTTGTTTGGGGGGGTAACACAAGTTCACAGCAGGTGGACGGTGAACACTGACCAGTCCTACCGGGAGGGCCCTAAACTAAAGACAGAGTGACCGTCAGAACGGAGTTGGATTGATTTTCTGTCCTTTAGCTGGAGCTGTTGCGGCTCCATTAAAGTCGGAGCTCTCCCTGGATCTCATTTTTTCAGCAGCTGAGGACCCTCAGTCAGATTCCCAGACAGAACATTGATCCCCTCCATTGATTTAGTCAGACAGTTCACCAAATTTTGGATTCACTGAATACCAGAAACAGCATTTTGAGGCAACTTTAAGAACTTAGCCCGAAATTCTGAATGAATCCAGCATTTAGGCTCCTCCCCCTCCATCCTTAGCATGCCTCTACCTGCAGAGGAAATGTTCAGAAACAGATTTGTCTAGGACAGATACAGAGTAAATGGGAGTGTTTTGTCCTAAAGAATCAAATGTTGTTTAAAAAGTGACAAAGCAAAGTCTCCTTGAGTCAAAGCCTTTAAGGAAATAACCCAAATTCCCTTTGATTGGTGCCCTTTATCATGTTTATGGCCTTAATCACTCTTTTCACATCTTATTAAGGCTGGGATGTCTATTTTATGAATTTGGTATGATTTAGAGTCAAATTAAAAACAAATCTGCAAACTGCAGAGGTCTAAGAGCTATAGAGGTTCAGAGTAATCTAAGGTTTGGTTTAGCTTTTGATGGTATTTATAATGAGTGGGAGTGGACATTTTCCATCATTCTCACCTCGATCAATCACCTCTTTGCAACTTTCATATCCATGTTGTTGACCTGGAAGCTCTAAATGCTGATCCAGAGGTCCAGGCGTGACGTAACAGAGGCTGCCTCCATCCTCCGGGTCTGTCTGGGAGCTCTGGAGGCTAACGACACACAAAATGGTGCACTGTAGTCCTCCAATAAAACACAGTTTGACTGGACTTTTATGGTCTCCCAGAGCTCAGAATCCCAGTGATTCATTAAAGCTCGGTTAGGGATTATCAGCAACTTCCTTTATGGCCTCGCTTTTGTTAGACTTTAAGCAAAAATACTAAGCAAGTGGCAGCTTCTTAGGTGTTCACTTCTCCTTATATTTGTCTATTTGGAGGTTTGTAGTTCTGATCCCTTTCACGTCTTAGTGGCCTGTGCGAGCATGTTCGTGTGGCTAACCCTTTAAAGCCTGATCCATGAAAAACAGGAAGAATATTGGATTTTTTTTGTCTGAAGTCTTTCTTTGGCCCCTCAACAACATATGAAGAAAAAAAACAGAAATTATTTTGATCAAATGAGCGTGCAATAAGTCAGAAATGTATTTTGGTGTAGTCTTCTACTGGCTGTTATCAGGTATATCTGAATGTGTACAACAGGGGTTTGAGCAAAGCTTTTACCACTGAATGATGCAAAAAGTCTCAGATCCAAAAGACTTCAGAAACCGGATCAGATATGACACATTCGGCATTATAGGGTTAAACGCTCACCGCTCATTCCTCGTTATTTCAGGGTCACCTGTCCCTACTTTTGAGGTGTGTTTGAGGGTTTGTTGATCTGTGTTTGTTGGGCTGGAGCAGAAATGTTTCTCCTGCTCTGCTTCTTGTTTGTGGGTTTGTCTCTCAGAGGGTTGTCGCTGCTCATGGGGCTGCTAATGTGAGACGTTTAATGCTCTCAGAGTGTGTGTGTGTGTGTGTGTGTGTGTGTGTGTGTGTGTGTGTGTGTG